GTACATCGAATTTTACTGTATATTTTTAACACATTAATCTGCAGAATCTGCAATAAAAGTACTGGCTCGTGGATGAGTTTGGGCATAACTCATACGTATACTCTTTTTGTTGTTGTTCACCTAGGTATCATTTTAATTTTTCTATTAGGGCTTTACTCAAGTCTGTCTGGTAATTACTACATTTAAAAATAAATATTTAGGACTGTGCATTCGCTTCTACTAGCGGCGTGTCTGCACGCTTCCCCTAGAGGAGTTTAAATGCCCGAGTGGCCAAAACTGGGTACTTTGGCCACGACGACCTTACTCACCACTGGCACAAACGGGGCACTTCGGCACTTAAAGGTTAATGTGAATCAACTTTCTGTTAACACTGACAAGACCAAAGTATTATTTTTCCATGGAAAAGGATCTACTTCTAGGAACAGACCGGTCATACGTTTATTCAATAGGGAATTAGAATATTCATCTTCGGTGAAATTCTTGGGTATTGATATCTCTGAAAATTTGAGCTGGTTCAATCACACTCGATATATCTGCCTTAAGCTGAGCAAGGCTCTATATCTGATCAAATCCTTACGTAATTCTGTTAGTTTACAGGTATTAAGAAATGTATATTTTACTAAATTTGAATCCATATTTAAGTATGGTATTATGTTTTGGGGTGGTGGAGGTAAAGAGATAGATGCAGTTTTTAAAGTAAAAAAAAAATGCATAAGAGCCATTATGGGCGTTGATAATCGGGCATCCTGCAGAGGGCTGTTTGGTGAGTTGGAAATTTTAACTGTTACTTCTTTGTATATACTGGAGATTTTATGTTTTATCATAAAAAATAGAATCTATACAACTCTGAAATCTGATGTGCATAATTACAATACAAAGCATAAACATAATCTGTATGCCCAACATTGTAATACAAAACGTTGTAAGAGAAGCGTGATAAACATGGGCATAAAACTATACAATAATCTTCCTATGGAGTTAAAGAATGTATCTGATTTTAAAGTGTTTAGGAGGAAATTGAAGTGTTATTTGTTGCATAATGCCTTCTACTCTCTTCAGGAGTTTTCTTATATGTAAGATGTTGAATTAAATGACTGTAATTGTCTGTTAATGCATGTGCTGGTGGTTTTTTTTTATATAATTTATTTAAGTATTTATGTATTCTTTGATTATGTTAGGTGTGATTGTTATTAAATCTATATATTCTCTTTGACTTTATCCGATTGTATATTTTACAGTTATGGATGTAAATAAAATTATGAATTATGAACACCATGCAGTCTGTTGAAAGTCAACTGATATTTCACAGGAGCATGTCATCTCCATCTTCAGAGTTGAGGGGTAAACCAAGCAAGCTACCTGTTTCATGCCGTTTTCTTGTTGGTCTTACTCTTCAACCTTGAAGAGTGATTAGACACTTTCCTCCAAAATGTCAGATGACTTTCAACATACTACATGGCATTATATAACAGAAGATAGAAATCTTCAACTTTTAGTGTATATCCCAGATACCAAATTACAATGAAATTCATCCAGTAATACTGGAGATGAAGCAAGCAAATAGACACAATTTCCTTTCATATTTTCTGTAAGCATTCTGCGCAAATAACATGACAAATCAGGTGGCCTGATATTCTGATTATCCCCATCACTGGCTGTGTCACCAGGCCACAGATCTACCAAATATAGGCAGACTCAATCATGCTATACTTACTCAAGTACAGAGGCCAAAAGATCTGCTGCACGCCCCGATCCATCACACACCACTACTGGGACAAGGGGCGTGTCCATTACATAATCTCGCACGGTTCTAATGGTGTTACAACCACCTCCAATCATGAGACACACCAATGGAGTACAACATTGAGAACCTGCAACAAACATGAGCTAGAATTAAAAACTCTGTATAATATAAGAGGAAAAAAAACCATTGAAAGGGTGAGGTCTACTAGAATCCAATCCCACAAAAACTCTACTCTATGCAGGGTCAGCCTCACCATGGATACAATGTGTTCATTTGCACAGGTGGCATGTAGTGAATTTAAAATTACTCCAGGTCACTCACATATCAAATTGAAGGAAATTTAAACTGAACTCCAGCTTAGTGATCGATGGATTATGAACTTCTTTCACGATTAAGGGTACAAACAAGATGAAGGATTCCATGTTGCCTAGCATGCCGACTTGAACTGCAGAGAACAGCGGCAGGAAGTATATCTGATCATGGTGATGCTCTGCTTTCATTATGCATACTAATGAACAATGCAGGAAAGTTAATACATAATCCCATATATTCAAAATCTAACTAAAACTTTCTGTTTTTGGTCTGGGGAAAATACATATCTAAAAAGATATAACTTGTCTTGGAGAATGTTATAGTAATGGCTGAAGGGAGTATATGGTGCAGGATGTAAGTGGCAAAAATGTTGAACTGGTCCTGACTTTCTGACCCAACAGACTATATCTATTGACATAATAATAAGGGCGATCTGATGAAAGAAAAACTGAGCTATGGCTTCCAATTAGAAGACTCCTGAGGTAAATCATATCACAGGTGGTTTTAGCCTGTTTGGTTTAGGTTTTGGTATCAATTCCATACAGAAATCTTATCCCATGTCTCTGACCTGTTAAACTTTCCAGCTCCCACACCAGTTAATGGACTGTCATCAGGAAGAGAAATATTTACCTGGATGCAGTTTCTGATTAGATATGTACTTTTCTAGGTTTCTTCTCAGGACAAGCTCAGCTCCATATCTTCTTAATGTTCCATCATCAGCCAGTAAGAAATAAGAATGATGTTTATTCAGAACTGCATATTCAGGCCTAAAACAAATACACTGGTAAATAAATGAATGGGAAAAATCTGTTGTTCAACTGAGGTAGTAAAATGTATTAACAAGGGAGTTGTTTACTTACATGTCCTTCATAGTATGGAAAAGTAGCATTTTCAAACTGGGGAATTATAAAGCACGGTGTTCCACAAGGATCAATTTTAGGTCCCTTACTTTTTCTTCTTTACATAAATGATCTATCTAAAACCATCAACAATAAATCTAAACCAATTCTATATGCAGATGACACTAGTATAATATTTAAGAACTCTAAATTTGAAAACTTTAAAAATGACATAAATATTGTATTTGAAGCCTTAAACAGATGGTTCGAAGCCAATTTACTCTCATTAAATTTTGATAAAACCCATTACATATCATTCACAACTAAAAACAACCACCAAATTGATCTGGACATCAGTTATGCCAACAAATTAATCTGTAAAGTACTTGATACAAAATTCCTTGGAATACATGTAGACAGTACACTGTCTTGGAAAATACATATTGAACAAATTATACCTAAATTAAATGCAGCTTGCTATGCGATGAGATCAATTAAGCCTTTTATGTCACAGGAAACATTGAAGATGGTTTACCATGCCTACTTTCATTCTATTATGAACTATGGATTAATATTTTGGGGGAACTCTTCACATAGTGTAATAATTTTTAAAATACAAAAGAATATAATTAGAATCATTACAGGATGTAGAAGTAGAGATTCATGTAGAGAATTATTTAAGAAATTAAAAATTCTACCTCTTCAATCGCAATACATATTATCGCTTCTCTTATTTGTTGTTTACAACAAAGATAAATTCAAATTAAATTCTGATGTCTATAACATGAATACTAGACAAAAATATAACTTCCACCTACCCTCATCAACTTTATCAGTATATCAAAAAGGAGTCTACTTTACTGGCATAAAAGTGTTCAACAATCTGCCACAAAGTATTAAAAACTTGGGCAATGATACTAAAAAGTTTAAATCAGAGTTAAAGAATTATCTACATGCTCATTCCTTCTACTCTTTAGATGAATACTTCAATGTAAATAGAGAATGATGTAAAATTAAGTTATACTAATTTTTAAGCTAAAATTGCCTGTACTTATGTATGTAACCTTTTGACTTGTTCTGTATCCAAAGGTACTAACCTACTTAGGATTTATAGAATGTAAATAAATTCAATTCAATTCAATACATTAAAATCCCAGTTATATTTTATATATACCCACCACCCTCCTTCAAGCAGATGCCATTACAGTAGAATCTAGTTGAATTTGTGATTGTAGTACAGTTTGTTATTATCTGCAATCTTTCACTCACACAAGAATTAAAGTGAAAACATGTAGTTTTGGTTCTGCACTGAATTTCTGTAAGAGCTTTTCTCATGAAGCCTGCAGATTCATGTAAATGGTAGAAGTCATTTCCAACAGATGCCCAATAACAATGATGTTACTGCATTATGTTGGTGCCTAAATTGTACTACTATTAGTTTAAAGAAAATAAGTATCTGGAACGTCTATAAAGTGTTAACATGATTCATTCATGTTGCTATTTGCTCAGAGGTTTAAGTGATAAAACAATGTCTAATCAGCAAAATAATTACCAGCTGGAGGCAATTTCTTTTAGATTGTCCTAAGACTATATTACTTTAGTGGACAATGGTCATTAGTTTTTCATCCTAATACATTCAGGAAGTTCATATTCTTTCATCAGTTTATTGATAGTTTCAGTTACTTTCAATGCCATCTCAGACATTAGAATTTAAATTATTTCACTAAAGAGCTAGTTTCCCAGATGGTTCCAGCACAAAATATGCAACTTGAAAAACAGGCTTGGTTTGTTTATTCATTTCCAGTATTGAAACAAACATGACTAAAGGAAAACTGAAAATGAGTCCACAAGACAAGGACAAACTTATGCAAAGAAACAGTGGTTTTGATGAAATCTGTTTTAAGTAGGTAATCTCAGAGACAAAATTTAAGAAACGCCTCATGAGTAAAGTGAAGAAGTGTAGAACACAATCCCATGGGGAATGTCGATGGCATGATAGCTCCGCTGTCTTATTAAGCAGAGGATAAAGTGGTGCCATACATTTTGAAATTTGATATGTTTTTTCTTTGTTATCAATTGTCTTTCTGGATTATGATTATAGATGTTAGGAAGCAAGCTTAAGGAAAGCCACTCCACAATTGCAAATAGCACATGAATGATTTTATTGAAAGGCTCTGAATTTGTACCATGCACAAGTGTTTGATTCACAGGATTCAGTAAATTAATAGTCAGTTAGGAAAAGTAAGAGGTGAAAAACATTTTTAAGCTTCATACAGTGAAACTACAATTCTACATTTTTGGATTTTATATTTTCCCTGCTTTTAAACGATTTTTTTGTTAGTCCTAGCATAAAAATCATTAGACCAATGTTAAATTTATTCACTTTTACATTTCCTGAAATTTATATATATATATATATTTCCCCCCCGCCCCCATTTTATTTTCCTGACAATGGAATTTACGAGATTTTACATTTACAGTGTTCTAATTTGTAAAATTCACAGACACATTAGCAATGTTCCACTCATGTACAGAGTTTATCTTTGAAAAATGGGAATATCATTCCATATGATGCCCTCTGAACCTTGTGTGACAGCTCATCCAATCACAAACAAGGAAACACTTTCATGCTTGTCACTATGTTTCGTTGCAGCCATTTATTTTACTACGATGTTGGTTGCTGACAATATCTACACAAGACTAAGGGTCATACATAAACATAGGAAGCCATTCAATTATTCTTATAACTTGAAATATGAAAACAAAGCAGAATGGAAAACATTTATGGTAAGAAATAAAATAAACATTATATTGCAAGTTGATGCATGTACTGGAACATGTGTATACAAAACGTGCAAATTGTTATCGCATTCAAATTTAAAGTAAAAAAGCTAAAGTCCCTGTGTTTAACTAATTAAGCACTATGTTATGGAAGGGTTGAAGAAGTGGATGTATCATCATCATCATCATCAGTAATCTGTCAAGACAACAGGTCCACAGTCTCTTCCAAAACAGTTCCTCCACTTGATGTGATCTAGAGCTTTCTCATTCGAATGAAAATATCCTCTTCTGTCCCCAAGGTCATCCAGCATCTTATTAAGTCTTCTTCCTCGTCTTCTGGTCATTTCTATCCACCCCTCTATCTTTCCTTCAATAACTTCTTTTAGAAGGCAGTTACCGCGTAAGATATGACCAATCCAATTAGCCTTCCGTTTTCTTATTTCGTGTAGGATATTCCTCTGCTCACTGACTCTAAATAACACTTCTTCATTTCTCACATAATCAGTCCAACTGATCTTCTCCATCCTTCTCCAACACCACATTTCGAAGCTTTCCAGGTGTTTCTGATCTACTGCCCTAAGT